CTGCCAGCACCGCTCCTGGGCAGGATACAGCCTCAGGACCATCTCCAGGACTGGAAGGCGGAGCAGTGCTGGACCCCCACGGCCTAAGCCAACCTCCCAAATTGCCTGGCTGGTCCCTCAGGCATCTCCCAGCTGCCCCACATGGAGTGGGGGACCAGGTAGGGCATGGGCACTGGCAGAGGGTCTCCCAACGGGTGCTACCCTTACTCGGCAGGGCAGGCACGGTACCCCCGGGTCTAACGGAGGACCAGCTTTGGCGGGCGAAGTACATCTATGACTCGGCTTTCCACCCCGACACTGGTGAGAAGATGTTCCTGATAGGGCGCATGTCTGCCCAGGTCCCCATGAACATGACCATCACCGGTTGCATGCTGACATTCTACAGGTACCTGTCCCCTCCTCACCCCAGGGCCCATACCCTCCCTGAAAGGCACCCATGCTGTAGGAGCAGGGGTGGCAACCCCCAGTGTCACCAGCACCCTCCTCTCTCTGGTAGGAGCACACCAGCCGTGGTGTTTTGGCAGTGGGTCAACCAGTCCTTCAATGCCATTGTCAACTACACCAACCGCAGCGGGGATGCACCCATCACATCCAGGTAAGCATCCTTCTGACCAGGTCCGTGGGGCACCCCAGAATGCCAGGGGGATGCATTGAATGACAGGGGGCTGTTAGACAGGACAATGGGGACCTGAGATGGGCACCAGTGGGGCTGTCAGGGTTGGTGGTAGAGCTGGGAGAGGAACTCAGGTGTCCTGATGCTATTGAAGGTCATACTGTCCCCGTGTTTGGGGAGTTGGTGTGGTGGGGAGACCCTGGCTCACCAGTGTCACCTCCTGCTCTTGCAGCCAGCTGGGGACGGCTTACGTGAGCGCTACCACGGGGGCAGTTGTCACAGCACTGGGGCTCAAATCTCTCACCAAGGTAAGGTGGCCCTTGGCCATCACTGGCCGAGGCATCTAGGCCCTCCCCATGGGATCTTCCTGTGCTCTGAGCTGAGCAGGGGATTCACCTCATAACCTGGGACAGGGGAAAAAATGAAGCAATCCACTTGGGGGCACCCACGCTCCCCAGTGATGCCTCTGGAGATGGCCTGTCCTTCCAGCTCTGCTCCATCCCCAGTTGGATCTCTCCAGGCTTCTTTCACCTGTCAGCCTCCAGGGCTGGGAGGGGATATGGGACCCCCTGGACCCCCTGGGCTGTGTAGCTTTCACCAGCTGGGAGTTGCAGGGGAGGAGGGAACAGTTTTCCCTTATGGGGCTGGGGCACTCCAGGATCTTGCAGAGGAACAGTGGCAGATCTGGGGACAGCTCTGCCCCCAGACCCTCTGCATGACGTACTCCCTGCTTGTCCCCCCAGCACTTGCCAGCCATCATCGGCCGGTATGTGCCTTTTGCGGCCGTGGCTGCTGCCAACTGCATCAACATCCCGCTGATGAGGCAGAGGTAAGCCCCTGGGCTGGGACAGGGAACTTGGGCTTGCGTTGGGGTTCACCAGGCACTGGCGAGGCATAGGGGGAGCAGTGCCCTAGGCACTCAGGGGACTTCCTTCCTGGTCCTCCTGGCATCCCATACCCTGGGAGAGTGGTTTGAGGGTGCACGCACTCAGTTGCATCTCACGAGGTTATTGGTTAATGCCAGCCATGAACTCCCCATCCCCATCCAGCCCTGCTGAGGACCCTCCAAGTGTGAATGTAGGTCCAGCTGAGACCCTCCTAACTCCCACAGGCAGACAGGGAGTACAGGAGGATGCCAGCCTCCCTTGGAGACATGTCCCTGTGCTGTGTCCCTGCCCTGTCTCTTGATCCCCCAACCCCTGTGCCCTGGGGCCCCCTCACCCCTACTCTTCCTGCAGAGAGCTCAAGCTGGGGATACCCATCACAGATGAGAACGGGAACCGCCTGGGAAACGCAGCCCAGAAGGCCATTTTCCAGGTGGTGGTGTCCCGTATTGGCATGGCAGTCCCGGCCATGGGTGAGTGTTCCCACCTCCACCTCTATCTGGGTGCTGCAGCTGGTCCCTGGCAACGTGGGACAGGTTCCCATGGCTGGTGGGGGGCTGTGAGCACTGGGAGCTTATCTCTTTCCCCTCTGCCCCAGCCATCCCCCCAGTGATCATGAACGCACTGGAGAAGAGAGCTTTCCTGAAGGTACTGGTGGTCCTGGGATGGGAGGGTGGGCATGGGAGGACACTCCCCTAGCTTGTATCTGTGCTGGCACCCCTTGGGGCTGACACCCCGTGGGGGAACAGACACCTTTCTGCCCCATCCACTCCACTGACCACAGCCTCTCCCTGTCCCTGGCAGCGGTACCCGTACCTGAACGCTCCTCTGCAGGTTGGCCTGGTGGGACTCTGGTAAGTCACCCTCCACTAGTGGATGTTGACCGACCCTGGGTATGGGGCGCAGTGTTGCTGGGGGGCCTGCTTGGCAGGGGGGGGATGCCCCAGAGCTCTTTGGAGGGGTGCCGGAGCTTGGCCAGGCTGTTGCCCTTGCAGGTAGATAGGATGTGGGGCATGAGGTCCTGGGGCCAGAAGCTGTTTTACTCCATCTTGATGTACCTCAAGCCTCCAATGGGCTCCTGCTCAGCTTCATTGTTCCCCCACACTGATGGGGACAGGATTCGCCTCACTTCAGGAGCCAAACGCTGGGTCTGGAGCTTGGAGAGGGCATCTCCTTGCTCTAAAAAAAAATGGCATGGCTCTGGGCTGTCTCCTTGCTGTTCCCCAGCCCAGCTTCTCTGCTCCATGTCTTTCCCTTGCAGCTTGGTGTTCGCGACCCCGCTGTGCTGTGCGCTCTTCCCGCAGAAAAGGTAAGGACAAGCACCTTGCCCACATGTGCAGCCCTGTGGATCAGGGCATGGGGTGCAGGTGGGGGGTGCATCAGCTCCTTGTGCTCTCTGACTCCCAAGAGATGATTTGGCTCCTTCAAGAGATCAGAGGCTTGAAACTGTGTGTGCACACACATGTCCCTGTGCACACGCACATGTGCTGGGCCGTGGGGAGAATATCCCCATGGGTGCAAGTGGGGAAGGGGTGGCAGCAGGTGGTTTTGCAACCCGAGGCCACCCGTGGGTGGTCCCCCTCCATCCCCTGCATCCATGTCCCCTCCTCAGCTCACTGCCTGTGAGCTGCCTGGAGCCTGAAATCCAAGCTCTAATTCAGAAGAAAGACCCACAGCTGGAGACCGTCTACTTCAACAAAGGGCTCTGAACAGGGGTCCCGGGGCGGCCAAGATGTGTGCTGCGTTGCTGGGCTTCGCCCCTCTGACCCCTTCAGGGCCACCGCCGCTTTCCCTTGGCCGTCGCGTGTCTGTAGGTCCCAGGTGCTCAGCCCCACTTCCCGGGATGCCCAGAGCCATGCAGCACTGCTCTGCGCCAAACCCGGTCCCCGCGCCTGGGCTCAGCCCCACTCTGGGGACCTGGCTGGCACCCCGCGCGTCTCCCGTGCTCGCCCTGCATGTGCCCATAGCTGTGTGGCAGCACACGGGGGAGTGTGGGCAGTGGCACCAGGGACCTTGTGAATGGGGATGTGGTGAAGAGAAGAATATGGTGCTCCCCAGCTTTAGGAGGCAGTGGACAATCATGGTGATTGAGGGTTGAACCCCTCTGTGCCAAGCCCCTGCCCTCATCCCCCACGGTGCTGGGCACTCACGTTCCCCAGTGGTTCGGTGTCTGGCCCCTGGGGATGGTGGAGTGGCCCCTGGGAATGGTGGAGTGGCTCCTGGAGAGGAAAACTTCCCCCCCCAAAAAAACCCAGGGGTGAGTGATTTCAAGCACGTACAGTGGCTTGAGGCTGGGGGGGGCTGTCCCAGCCTGGGCATGAGCTCTCATCTCGCCCTCTGCTCTCCTCTGGGCTGCTCCAGGGATTTAATCTGGCTTTCTGCTCCTTCCATCCTCAGAGCAAATGGCACATTTTAATCCCAGCAGAGAATCTCCCTTTTTATTCTCATTTTCATGCCATCTCTGTTCAGGTCTGGGCTCCCCCTCAAGGGGTCACTCCCTCCTGGAGTGCTTGCTTTCAGGTGGACCTTCTCAAATAGCTTTAAGTGCACCGTGGGTTCCTCTAGTTATTTTTGATATACGTACAGTGTACCTATATATACCAAACAATAAAGGCAGGTTGTTTATACAAAACCAAAAGCAAAAGAGAAATGCGTTGC